AATTAGTGAAAACCCATCCAGATTATCGTAGCCAAATATTATATATAACAATATTTTGACCTTTCAGGGTCATATGTAGGTTCTTCTTGAATTTGGCTATGATGTTCAAGATGAAATTACAATTTTGAATCTCAACCCATCAAGAAATTTTAATTTTCACTATCAATGTGGTATATAATTTTTAATTGTATGTTTGTTTTTGAAATTAAAATTTAAAAGTTGACATTCAAATTTTCCAAAAGAAGTTACAATTTCAATTATTTTGCATCTTTCTAAAGGAGAGGTATAACATTTAGTAAGATCATTTTTTAATGGTTTTTGAAAATCCTTTTTTCATTTTTTTAATGATTTATTTAAATCCTTTTATATATAATTTTTTAATTCTATTAATTTAATGATTCATTAAATTTTTTTTTTGTTGGGGGGGAGGGGGGTAACCACGGAGGTGCCTACGCATTGATCAAAATTAAATTACATGGTCCTTAAAGGGACCTCAAGCTCATTATTACTCAAATAAGATACAAAAAATCAATGTAAAACCTACGAGCTCAAAGGCCCTACTAAGAAAAAGTACATAAAAACCTAGGTAAAATTTAGGGCAGCAAGAGGCCAGCACCCCAAAAATAGAAAGGATCAACATATGAACTTTGAGCATCATCCTACACACAAAGCAATATGAGCTATATGATCTGAGTTTGGAATAAACCTACCAAAAAATGAAGGAAACAAAAAAGATAAATCACTGAAGGATATTGTATAATAGATTAAGGATAAGTTAGTAAAATTGCAAAAATATAAAATGCTTGTTATACTAGTTACCATTACCATTCAGATGGGAGCTGTAGATACTTAAAGAAAGGGTATTCCAACCACTAATATAGCTTAATAAGATATCATCTAAATAAACAAGATTAAGGTGACAATAAACAGTAAAAGGAAATTGGCATAACCACACCCACCAATCCCAAATAATAATAGACACCCCATCAAAGAAACCAGCAAAACTAGAAGGGCCCAAAGATCAGCCGCCCCCAAAAAACCTACAACACGTAATCAATATTAATGTACCAGCCAACCAAAGTTACCAGCCCCACCAAAACCAAAAGCTGAGGCCACCAACAATAGAAAGCATTAGATGAAAAGACTATATTAACTCCCATTCACTAAAAACATTACCAAGAGAAATGCTAAACATAATATACAAAGCAACTAACAAGAATAACAAGAAAAGGATAAAAAAATAAAAGTGGCACTAACATCCAACCAATAAAGCACCAAAGGGATGAGTCAAGAATAATAAAAACTAAGCTACCATGAAGCAGCAAGTCCACAGACCACCACAAGTTTAGGTGATGGAAAACCTAAGGGTACAACTCATTAATCTCATAGTAACGAAGCAGTTTGCAGTTAATACATGCTAAAACCTAAAATAGGAAATCTAGAAAAGTGGAAAGGCCAGTTGAGCTCAGGAAGAAACAACCATAACATTTATCATGATGATAACCCCAATGCCACTCAAGTCTATACCCAAATGCTCTTAGGCACATGAAAATGTAAAGTATATGAATAGTAAAAAAGTAAGACAATTAATCATGCCATACAACCATAATGCCACTAGTAGAATACTTCCAAGCAAAACAACAAACCCACTAAAAGGATGCAAAAGCATAAATCCAAGAAATAATAGCCCACAAGAGCACCAAAATCCCCCAGCAGACCACCCAAGAATGCTAAAAGACCTTGCTAGATTACCAAGACATGCCATAACCCACACCAAACAGCACCATAACATAACCAACAAGAAAATAACCCAAGTAGAAGAGAAACAATTAGGGATTAAATTAGGATGCCAAAAATTCTAATCACAACTCAAGTCGATCACAACAACACATACGATAGTATTAAGATGAAGAATAGAACTAGAAAAAGCATTAGTAACCACAGGTAAACCAAAGAATGAATGATAAAAGAAATAGCCCTAACACAATACCACCCAATAATAGATAGCAAAATAATAAAAATAACCACACTAGTAAAAGAAAAAAACTAGCCATATCCAAGCCAAAATAGAGAGCCAAAAGACCCATGGTCAATAAATAAATGAAATTCTTATATACGGTAACCCCATTTTGTCCAACATAATCATTTCTTTCAGTAAATTAGGTAAATATGTTTCAGTAAAATCAGTGAGGCAATCCTTCCCTATAAATATATGAAATAAAAAAGTTAACAAAATTAAAAGCTGATTCTATAACTTAGAAAAGATCAGGATTGTAAATACTATTCATCACATTCATAAGGAAATGAATACTAGAAGTGACATCCACCTCAATCCAAATATTAGTAATACCAAGTGAAGCCAATTTCAAACCATTAAGAATAGAAAAAAAACTCAGACATCAGCACAAAGCACTAATCCAACTAATCTGAAGGGCTAGCAAAAGCCATGATCATTTTCTCATTATCATTCTTGATAATACAACCACACCTAAAAGTAGAATTTTTAACATACCCATCAAAATTAAGTTTAAAAGTATTAAGGGGATGTTTGATCCAATACACCAAATTTGGATCCTCCGAAAAAATAGCTTGTCTACAAAGATATGCCAAAATTATGTGCAGCAAAAGAATAATTCTTGAAATTTTTTGAATTCAAGAGATTAGCCGTGAAAAGTTTAAACACTTTATCCTTAATATTATGAATAATATGAAGAAAAATTAATGTGAATATTATTGAACAAAGAATTATTTCTAGCAATCAACAAATTCCACATAATCAAGCAAGGAATAACATGTTCATGAATTTAGGGTTTACTATTTGATAAACTAAATAAACTCCAAATGGATTGAAATTTAAACCCTAAATAAATAATGACATAAGGTTTAAACCTTAACTATTGGGTAGATCGTATTGTATGATTTGGAAAAAAAAACTTAAATATTGGGGTACATAAAAGTCCTATGAGTTTTTAATTATTTTCCAAAGTATATCCAACTATACTTTGAAAGTTATATTTTAGGCTAACTTCATCAAATCATTGGACCAATACAGTGTTTACAAACCCTTTAGCACTATTCTAACACACCAAACATGAGATCCGCTAAATTGCACATGGATTTGCGTTTTTTAAAATTTCAATTTAAAAGTTATTTATGTATCATAGAAGTTAAACATTCCAATTAAAGCCCTTCTTAAGTTCAAATTTGGATGAATAATTTTTGACATGTGTTAAACACTACAAAAACTATCCATACCAATTTGACCTAAAAAAGAATCATATTTGAGAAATAAATTACAAAATACACCAAAGAGTTTTTTTTATTTAATTTTAAAGCCCTTAAAATTTTAATTCCAAGTCACAAAGCTTTTAAAGTACTAATGAGAAAAATCCATAGAGCCTAAGATCACTTGATTTAGACAAGTGTATGAGGAGTAATTCAATTTTAAGGTTTAAGTGAATTTTTTTTTTGAATTGAACCTCTGGACATTTAATTACATAGTCAACTAAGATGATTGTAATTGGACTTTCTTAAATGGCATGCCCACATTGGACACTTAATAGTGGTGGGACCCTAAGAATAGGGGGTTAAATTCTTAATCATCCTATATATAATATTATAGACCTGAATCAATGTCTTGAAATAGTGGGAGAGCTTTATGGAGTGAGATTCGAATTGATCAAAGCCACTCATTACATTTGAGATAAAAGAAGGGCTTTGATTTTGTCTTCCTTCTTTCACATAATTTCTTAGCCATAGAGATAAACTCCTTTGATCCAAAGGCTATACTTAATAAAATTCAATGAAAATTAATCTAAGAGGATCATCCAATAGTGAACTTTCAATCCAATGACAAAAATGGTATTGGATTACAAGTTCATTTCACACTTGCCTAACCCTAATGTAAGTGTTACTTAGGATTGAAGAATACCTATGCTTAGAAATAAAAAATAAAAAAATGCCTATTTTTTTTAAAGAAGCATAAATGCATTAATAGAAATAAAAACCAAAAAGAACTACAAAGTTGATTCCTCCTTCACCATTTTAACAAATGAAGGAGGGATCTTATCCAACCGTAGGTCTTCTCAAATAAAATTGCTAAAAAGAGCATAACTAGCACACATATCCGCTAGTTTATTTCCCCCTCTATCTATACATTTGAAAATTACATACTCAAATTCATTGAAGAAGTCCAATTCTTCTATTCCCTTGCAGCCATGACGCTTAGCACATTGGATCGCTTTTATCACATTGGAGTTGTCACTTTCAATAATAGCTCCCTTGTACTTAAACATCCAATCCTTTATAACATCTTTCAAAGATTTGATAGCTAGAAATTCCAATTGTAAAATGTCCCAGTGGATACAAGAATTGCCAAACGCCATTAAAAATATCCCTTCGCAGTCTCTGATTATACCTCCAACACCTGCTCTATAAGAAGAACACAATGTAGCATCTACATTGATTTTTAACCAACCGGGTGGAGGGGGATGCCAAACATTAGACACTCTATAAGACTGATTAACATCCTAAGATTCCGGAATTGGATTATAAATCAATTTAGAGAAAGAAGATAGGCTTATTGCTTGAACAGCTATAGAATTAGCACTTTCACTAACCCCTTCATATACCATTCTATTTCTAGCCTTCCATGATAGGTACACAACATTGTAAACAAGATTGAGAATCATACCATTATTCTTTGTAGTATCTTGTAACCAATGGCAACAATCTTGAAAGCTTTGAAACTCAGGCCAGCCAAAACCCCATTTTTTTAGAATAAGCACCACCTCCATAATTTTAATGCATTTAACTAGAATATGTTCCACGTCTTCTATCCCATCAGAGAATTTCGGGAAAATGTCATTCACTTGCAACCTTCTATGAGCTAGGAATTGATATGTTGGCAAAGAATTTTTAAACAATCTCCAACTAAATATTTGTACACGAGGATTAACTTTCGCTTTTTTAATCCAACTATATACCTTCCAATCATTTTGCTATTGAAAGTCAATGATCATCCCAGGAATTGTCATCCTTGAGCCCTGATAAATAAGTTCTCTATCATCATCTACCTGATTTGGATTAATGTTGATCTTTAGGATTAGATCCACAAGGTCCCCTCCAAAGACCTGCTTCAGGTTTTCCTCTTTCCAGTTTTTACCTTCAATGAATCTACTCAGCATAAACTCCTCATCACCTTGTGGAGCTACAAATGTTGGCCATTCATTTATTCTTCTATCCAGTATCCATTTATCCTTGAATACATTAATGGAATTACTATTAGCTATATTCCATTTGATGAAAGGATCTAGAGCTTTACCTGCATTGCATAAAATTTTCCAAGAAGAAGAAGAATTTTTCTTAATCCCAGATGCTCCAAATATGGTACCATACTTAGGGGCAAGAACTCTATGAAAGAAAGAGTCTTTATTATGCAGATATCTCCAAGACAATCTAGCTCTAAGAGGAGCTACCCTTGTTATGGAAGAAAACAAACCACATCCTCCACCCTTCAATGGCTTATAGAGTTCTTCCCAGCTTATGTAGTGCAACCCAGCATTTCCTCCAGCTTTGTCCCAAAGAAAACCTCTGCAAATTTTATCTACTTCTTTGACCAGTTGAACCGGCACCAATGAATGAGTACTGTAGTAGTTTGGAATTGCAAGAATAATAGATTTGATTAATGCTATCTTTTCAGCTAAAGATAATGTTTTGGTCCCCCATATATTAAGCATTCTAAGAACATTTTCAATAATAAAATAAAAGTCACTAGCCACCAATCTTCTCAAAGCCATCTTTATACCAAGATAAACAAACTCCTTAACTTTTAAATCCCATAATGCGGGTAATATTTTTCTTCTTTCTTTTGTTGACATTTTTCCCAAAGAGAATGACAGACTTCTCCACATTGATGCTTTGCCCGGTCCACTTACTGAAATTAGAGAGAATGCTTCTAACTTCATAATCCGCCTTCCTGGATGCTTCAGTGAAGATCATAACATCATCAGCATATAATAAGTGTGAAATTTGTGGACTATTAGGACATAAGCTAATCCCAATAGAAGAATAAGAAAATGCATTTGAAAGGCGTTGGGAGCACAGAATAAATAATATAGGGGGCAAGGGACATCCTTGACGGAACCCATTTTCAGCTTTAATCCATCCTGATAACTTTCCATTTATAATAATAGAGAATCTGAGATTTATTACACATTCCAAAATAAGTTTGGAGATCATAGATGGGAATTCAAAATAATACAAAACCTGTTTAAGCGTTGTCCAGCTCATAGAGTCGTATGCTTGCTCCATAGCTATTTTATAGGACACCATCCCTTTAGGAGCCTTGGAATACCTGAACTTGTGAAACATTTCCTGGGCCATCAATACATGATCAGAAACGGACCTTCCTTTAATAAAAGCAGCCTGCTCATCCGAGATAAGAAGAGGAATAACTTGAAGTAACCTGTTCAAGATGACCTTTGCAGCCACTTTATAAACTGAGTTGCATAAGCTTATATGCTTGTAGTTAGATGGCAGCAAAGGATTTGAATTCTTTGGAATGAGAACAATCAGAGTATCTTTCCAGTTACTATCCATATTTCCCATATTAAGGAATTAGTTTATTGCTTTTACAAAATCTGCCTGAATTATTTTCCAGTAAAATTTAATGAACGAGTATGTGACACCATCACATCCATGAGCAATGTTCTTACCTAGATTATTGATAACAAGTTCAATCTCATCCACCATGAACTCACTGGATAGCAACCTTTTATCTTCAGCTTTCAAAGTTTTTATAGGATTCGGCCAATCTTCTTTCTTTCAGGACCTCGATCTCCATTTGGTCTTGAAGAACTGCAAAATCACATCTTCGATCTGACTCAGATCTTCTAAAACCATGCCATTATCATTTCTGATTTTAATTATAATATTACTGTTCTTTCTTGCACTAGCAAACGAGTGGTAGAATTTTGAATTGCAATCTCCCTCATTCATCCATTTTACCTTAGCTCTCTATTTCCACCATCCACTTAGCCAAGCCATTGTAGCATTGAGTTCAATTACTTTGGTTTTCAACCTCCAACAATCCTCATCAGATAGCCAACCAACCTCAAATTCGATTGTCTGCAACTTCATTATTTCTTCCATTAAAGTATCTTTTAGGACATTAAGATTTTTCAACTTGCCCTTGCTCCAAAAGAACAAAGATTTAAGAGTTCTTTTGCATTTTGCATTCAAGATTTGAGAATAATTCCCATTATATTTCTTTCTCCATTCCTTCTTTACCACAACTACTGATGCCAGATAAGATGCCCATACATCCTCAAATTTAATATTCCTTTTAGGAGGAATATTAGACTTGATGAAATTAAGAATTATTAGGCTATGATCTGAGGCTATCCTAGCAAGATGCCTCATAGCTAACTGAGAATAAGAGTTCAATGCTATAGAATTAAGAAAGCACCTGTCAAGCCTCTCCAAGATCCGAGCACCTCCAGTTTTATCGTTGAACCATCTATACCGAGGGCCAATGAATCCAATCTCATGATAGTCGTTGTTAGTAAAGAATGACTTCATTTCTCTAGATCCTTGTGTAAACAAAAACCATCTCCCACCACGTTTTTCTTCCTTGGAAGTGAGACAATTGAAGTCTCCTCCTACAACCATAGGATACTCCTCCACATAGTATAATTCAAGCATCTCCCAAAGCTCTCTCCTTTTGATTAAGTCTTTGTTCCCATATACTTAAGCCACTCTCCATTTACAATTGCTGTTAATGGATAAGTCTCCTATAACACACTAGGAAGAAGATCCAGCCATGGAAAAATCAACCAAGTTGGAATTCCATATAATAATAATTCCTCCAGATAGCCCATTCGATGGGACCATAACATATTCCCAACCATCTCCCATAAGCATCTTAACCTCTCTTATATTAAAATAAGAGATTTTTGTTTCTAACAAACCCAAAAATACTACATTATGCATCTTGACAATTTCCTTTATGTATAGAGAAGCACCTTTTTTCTTGGCTCCTCTACAGTTCCATAATGCCAAAGAATTCATTGAAGTAGATTTGTGGGAGATAATCCCATTTTGCATTTCATGTCCATTTCCAATCTCCTACTCCTTGGGATATTGCTGATAGGCCCAAGATCTTTAAGTTGCTTTGACTTCTTCTTCTTCACAATACTAGATTCCTCTCCTTTATCATTTGCGATTGAATGAGCAACAATGTTCAGAATTTCTTCTTTCTTCTTATCATGAGGATCTACATTGTCCATCGATTCAATTTCAATTTCTTGAATTATCTCCCTTTCTTCAATTTGATCATTTAACACATTGAACCTGTTTTCAATCAATGGAATACAAAAACTATTCCTTTTATTTACCTGAGGCACTTCCTTATCCACAACCAGCTTTGAACTCATTGCGATTTCTTCATGATCATAAATTTTTTCTGAATGAACATCCTTTGTATTCTGACCAAAATCTTCATTAACTTTCTCTTTATCTTCAATCTTCTTTTTAGCATCTGATCTTCTCCACAATGTCTTTGGGACAAGCTACGCCCAAGATCAAAATTTGGAGACCTTTCATATTTATTCAATTTTAAAAACATATGATAGAGCTTATAATTAACTATAATTATAAGGAAAAAAATGCCTATGGTTAGAGCATAATTGAACTATGATTTTCTTTGATTGCACTACAGTGGTTCTCAGGAAATGATTCCCTTCATATGGCATAGATAATGGAGGATTATACATGGTATTGAGTTTTGGCAAGATAGATCTCAGTAGAGCTCAATCAAAACCAAAGAAATAAAGGGTTGGAAGGGCTATGAAGCTAGAAAATTCTTGCTAGGACTCTGATAATGGTTTTTAAACAAAGGAACATAACTTATGTTCATGGAATTTTTAATTATTTATATGCTTTAGCTGTCTGCATAAAGCCTTAATTTTGGCTAGATGCTACCACTTCAAGCAACCAATTCAGTTAGGAATGGGATAATAGGGTCCAAGTATGTATTGTGGAAGAATTGAGTGAACATGGTAAGTTATTGAGGCTTTAAGAAGTTAACCAATACTATCAAGGATTTTTTCTTTGTTTTATGGCCATCACAGGTCACCACCTCACCTAAGCTAATTAAATGCGAGGTTTGGAAGCTTTTGGAATGAAATTCATGAGTTTAATTGGTCTGGACTGGCCTATGTTTAAGAATGTTCAAATTAATATGGTTTTTAAGCATTCGGATTGGCCTAGTTATTTGACCAATGTAATCCCATGAACTGGACTAGCCATGGTTGATGCATTAGGTCTAAGATAACTTAATACAAGTGTTGGGTTGATTTAATTTTACTTGAATTGAGAATTAGTTCAATGGAGACCTACTTAGACACTTAGGTCAATCCATGTGGCTAGCCAAAGTGGACCCAAGGGTTGGGTAGGGTCAATCTTTGGCCAACCAATAGATAATCCAAAGGAGTTTAGGGGCCTTGGATTGACCTAGTTCATTTGAATAGAAGTTTGAAAGCATTAGGGTTTCTTGGGTAAACCTTAGTTGACTTAGTCAACCAAGCTTAACTAGGTCATGGGGTTGGTCCAACTCATTCCAAATGTGATTTGGAACTTGTTAGTATAGTTATTGGGCCATAGGAACATCATGGCATGTAGAGTTTTATTTAAAACTCATTTAGGAAAATTTAAGGTTCAATGGGGTTTAGGAAAATTTAAGGTTCAATGGGGTTAGGAAAGTTTAGGTATTAGATTTGACTTTTGTTAAGAAAGGTAGAGGTAGAACTAAAAAGCCTTGGTAAGAAAATATTAGAAATGATCTTTCTTTATTATATTTAAATGAGAATTTGAATTTTAACAAGACACAATGCCAAAAAAGGATTCATGTAGTCAACCCCACGTGGTGGGACAAAGGCTTGATGTTGTTGTTATTTTTGTATAGTAAACCAGTATCCACCAAGGGCTTAAATAGTTTTAGTTCTATATGGCCTAATATTTGAAAGAGTTTAGAGAATTTGGTGGAGTATTTTTTTTTTTTTTTTGAAGGGTTTGGTGGAGTTTATATGAGCTTATATACATGATTTAGGGTTTATGCTTCAAAGATCCATTAATGGTCAAAGTGAACAATCATTGTAAACCTAGCCCTTTTAAGGGTTCATTTTGGTCTATGCATGATCATGAATGATTGGCAAATGCCTAGGGAAAAACCCAGGTCTTGAGTTAAGCTTTACAATATGCTTCATGCATATGGTGAGGATTTAGGGTTTATTGGTTTCTTTGGTCAAACTAGGTTAACCTAGGTCAATCATGTTCAACCATGAATCCAAGTTCAAATATTTGAATGATGATTATGAACAATTTTGGGTCACTTAAGAAGGTTTACAAGGTTGTTTCAATCAAAATGCCAGTTCAATGGAATGAGGTGTAAATATTTGAAGATTTTTTTATACTTGATCGTTCTAGGGTTTAGAAGATCATATAAGCTTCCAAAATAATTAGGTAGGCTTTAGGGATATTTCAAATCAATGTGTAAAAAATAAAATGTAATTTTAAGGGCTTTACATGTGGTTTTGATCCAATTGAAAATTTCCTTGAAAAAGGAAAAATCCAAAGGCTTTAGAGTTTAGACTTTACATTAGATTTGAATAAGGTTTTTGTTGATGAATTTAAAGATTAATTAATAATTGAAGATGATTAAAACATCTTTGAATTGATTGAAAGATTTAAATGATTATACTACTGACAATAATTGGATGATTATCAATTTTTTAAGGATTTAAAGATTGAGCATTTGAAATAATTGATTTAAAATTTATTGATTGAGCACTATATAAAAAAAATGAAGATCTATATCTATAAATCTAAATGGGATCCAAGGATTTAAACACCATGATTGAAGACATTAATTAAAGACTTTGCCTCTTATAAGAATGAGGCCAATAAGACATATTATACTTTATGGCCCAGATTGTTGGCCATCAAAAGAGAAATATTAAATTTAGTTAAGTATTATAAAGATGTAGATACTTAGGTGAATGAGTGGTTTTAATTTTAAAGAAAAATCCAAAAATGAGTATATACGTGAAAATGTTGGAGTAGCTCTACTGGAGGATAAGATTAGAGAGAGAGTCACCTTTGATTTCTCTATCACATAAAATGTTGTCCTTCCAATTACCCAATTAGGAGAGTAGATGCATTAGATTTGGTCTATATTAAGAAAAGTAGAGGTAGACCTAAAAGGATTTAATTAGAAAGCATTAGAAACTAATTATTTCTATTATATTTAAATAAGAATTTGACTCTTAACAAGAAAAAAAGTAGAAAATGGATTCATTTAGCCGACTGCACATAGTGGGATAAAGGTTTGATATTATTTTCATTGTAAGTGTTGTATTCCTTAAGGCCTTGGGGAAGAGGAGGTGCTAAAGGTGCAGCTTCTTCTTTATTTTCATCATCATTATCATAAATTTAGATGACATAATTCTTAATTGAAAAGAAAACAAGAAATGAATTGTTTTTGAAAGATAAAGGAATGTGGATCGACTAATTAGGATAACTCATATTACATTTTCCTACAA